GCAGCGGCAGCTCTTAAAGAAATAGCAGCCAAAACAACCTAATAACCAGCTGCTGTGATGTCTATTAATCAAAGAAAAAAAAAGAAAAAGGAGGAAATCAATAACTTTTATAGCTTTAAGGATTCATCTACATTTAATTTTTGAATTTAGTGTTTGATAACTTTAATTTTACTTTGTGTATTTCTGCTGAAGGGCACAGGTAAATATGACATTAATTATAATGGGTTTATGTGAAGATTGTTTTGAGTTCACTTAAATTAGAAGTTATTTTTTACAGTCTAATAAATGTTCAAATTGATATCTCTCAATTATACAATAATGTTGAATGGCTATAATCAATGCTTAAATATTAGGGGGAAAACAGTTTTATAGAGACATCAGTAGTATTGGTATCAGTGATACTGGCCTTCAGTCATAAAAAAGATGCCATTGAACAAATATTAAAAATATACTGTCTTTGTTGTTTGTACATTAATTTAAAGATTGAATGTAAAATGATAAGTAAATATAAGTATATTTAAAAACTTTGTTAGGTGGGATTAATCACGATTAATTTAAGAAAAAATGTGCATTAATCGATTGACAGCACTAATAATTTTTTAATTCTATACTTTTATATAAAAGTATAAAATAGTCATATTTACCCTTTTCTATGATTGCTCTCTGCGTCCGTTCGATTCTCTAGGAGGATGTCAGTGTGAATGCCAGAGTAGTGTGCTGTCTTTTATTTGAGTATTACACATTAAAACCAACACCCTTGCAAGAGGTGGAGCCACGGAGGTGTTTTTTTTGTTTTTTTTTGTTGAGGAAATGCATTTATTTTTTGTTTCTACCTCTTAAAAGGATAGTTCACCTAGAAAGGAAAATTCTGTTGTTGTTTACTAACTTTAATGTTATTCCAAATCTGTTGAACACAAAAAGATATTTGGAAGAACATTGGTGTCCAAACTACATTGGACATCATTGTGTTTCATTGTATACAAAAACACAAAAATTTTTTATCAAAATATCTTCCTTTGTGTTCAGCATAGTCATACAAGTTTGGAACAGGGAGGGGTAAATGGTGACAATTTTCATTGAGGGCGAACTATCCCTTTAATTGATGCAACATACAGGCACTGATGTCACACTTGACATCTGTTAGACTTTTGTAGTAGGATATTAGGGAACATAAATTGTAGCCTATATATTTAAATAACATGACTTGATGAAAATGTAGTCTTTTACATCAGTTTGTTGATTCATCAGTATAATTTCTATTTATTCAGGGAAAATGTGTGAACTTTTTATAGTTTATTATTACATCTGCCATGAGACTTTGAGCAGGTATTAAACTTTACAGCAGTTGTAAGAGGTATCAGGTGGTTATATGTTGGTCACTAATCTGTGCTATTTATGTGAATAATGATGATGGACAAGCTTGCATATCAGGTAAATGATCATACTCAAAGTTTTTGAAAACCAATAAATAGTGTTCTGTTGTTCTTTAGTTTATTAATTCTGTTAAAATACAAAGCAGTGGGCTAGTTTTTACTTCTCTCTCATTATTGTTACTGCTTACTTATTTGGTTAATATCATGAAGACATCAGTTTATGAAGTCTGCTAAGTAGTCAGTGATCGTAATATGACCGATATTTGTAGACACATTGTTCAAAAGCAGCTTAACAAAGAATGGTGCTTTATAATGCCCCTAGCGAGCAAGCCAGAGGAGATGGCAAGTAAAAGCCCATAAGATGTAAAGGTAGGTGAGGAAAAAACAATACTCAGCTGGGTAATCCCCTCTTCTTTTTACAGGCACATATTTCAACAAACTGCTGAGAAAACATTTAAACTGGTGTCACCAAATACATCAAGGAAATTATTGACTTTCTAAAGCAAGCTCTGCTGTATTTTGAAAGAGTGCTGGTGCCGACTGTTTTCTGCTCCGTACCAGCTTTGTGCTTTTTTTTTTGTAAGCAGAAGGAAACCCCTCTTTATGGAGCATTGGCATTCATTTGATATATTTACTATCCTGTGCAAGAATGTAAAATGGCTGGCCGAGCTTGATGGTTTTCATATAGCACAGAGAGGCACAATGAGATTTGCGGATATCCGGGGATACCAGAAGTTCCATTTAGTTTAAAACCTCTCTTGATGTGGACTATCAGCTCTGCTTTGCTGTGTTTAAGCATTTGGCATTTTCCAGTCTCTCTGCAGGGCCTGGTGACTTTATGGAGTTGTAATAAAACACCATGGATTTTCCAATTTTATTCTTATTTCAATAGTTAAAGGAAGCATGTCTGTACTCATAGAACTTTGTGTTTTGTTTAATACATAAAATAAACAATGAAATGCACAAATCTCTGTCAATGCTCAAGCATTACACTGGAAAGAACATTCAATTTTCCACATTACGAAACTGCTAATTGTAGTGTATTTGTACACGTCTAGATGTTGATATGTGTAAGCCATACAGTACTCCGTCACATTATGTAGAAGGCAGTAAGTTTATTGGAAGCAGGCAGAGATTGCATATGTTGAAAAATGCTCAAGAAGGTAGCCAGAACAATGTGAAAATGGAAACCTAAGAGGTAAGTCTCTCGTTTTGCATTCTTTGTGGATTTTTTTGTTTTCCAGACTCAAGGAAGCAGGTCTAGTTCAAGAGATTATGCAGAATCAGCAAGCACAGAGGATGACAACTGTACATAAAAGGCCCAAAATGGTGGTTTCAAAGCTGCATATGTGGATTTGATGGCTTGTGCTGTGAGCTCTGCCTGGAAGGACCTTCTTGGTGCTACGTGTTCGGATTGTTGTGCTTGACTGTGTGGACAGGCTATGTGGAGTTGATGTGAGAAATCCCCCACCCACAATCAGTACCTGCTTGCCTGGCCCAGAGGTATTGACAGTGCTTGGATATTGACCCACATTCAACTGGGCTGACTTGGACAGGTAGCCAGATGTAACTACCTGCATTGGTGCTCGGTGGCCAGGATGATGAGCGCCGGCACCCAGTGGCGCCTCTGTGAATGCGGCTGAGTGCCAGGTTCTCCTAGTGGCCAGGTGGGCTTCTCCACATGTAGGCCTTGTGTAGCAGGGACAGCCCAAGATCTTTGCAGGGGTCTGTTGCATCCAGGTCAGCAGATGGTTTATATTCTCCTCATCCTCACAAGCCCAAGGGTTGTCTCCAAGTGTGAGGAGCTGCAGTCCATCCAGTCGACTGAAGACACCATTGCTCAACGAGGTAAAACGATTAGCATGCAGGTAGAATCTCGACAGTTTGGGAAGGCGATCCAGTGAGCCAGGCAAGATCTGCAGCAAGTAGTTGTGAGAGAGGTCCACCATCTCCAAATTGTAGGGCATGTTTGTCGGGACAGTCCAGAATTTGTTATGACTAAGGTTGAGAGATTGGAGATTGGACAACGTGTTGTTAATTAAGACCACTCGTTCCAGCAAGTTGTGTGACAAGTCCAAATTCTGAAGGTTCCAGTGGTAGGCCGTATTGTTCTTCTCCAGTTGACGGATGTAGTTTCCAGAGGCACGTATATCCCAAAGTGCTCTTGGCAGACCAACAGGAAGGTGGTGCAGATGGTTATATGAGATGTCCAGAGTTCTTAAGTGGTCAAAATGGTTGAGGAGTCCATCGAGATCTTGGAGTCGGTTATGTGACAAGTTGAGGAAATGAATGTTGTGCTGCAGGCTGTCAGGAAGTATAGCCAACCCTCGTGCAGAGCAGTCCACAGCTCTATGGCCTCTGCTACAGGTGCACAATGGCGGGCAAATGGCCAGCACACGCCCCCCGAACAGAAGAAGGAGCAACAGGTTAGTCGGCATGGAGGCAGGGGTGGGGTGGGCTGTCCTGTAAAAAGGAAAACTTGTTACAAACTTGCTCTCTAGGTTTTGCTTTTATTCAAGGTAAATTAATTGTCATCCAAGCTAACAAAATACACCAAATCTGGAGATTAGTGGATGGGTTGGTCTCCCAGTAGGAGTTGAGACTCAGCCCTTCTACTAATGACTAAAAAACAAGTTGGTTCATCTTCCAGGAAATTTTTACAGATCTTAAACCTGACTATCATTTACATTTTGCAGTGTACGCCTACTAAGTATTGTTCTAATGTTTCTGTCAACTATATTCTCATTTGTTCTTTGCAGACCAAATCAACTTAAGAATGAGAACCTCAGTATCCTCAACACTTTATATCTAGGTCCTATAACGGTTCTCGGGAGATGTATCAACCATTTGAACTCTTTAGGAGAAAGACCACCCCTACTTTTGGATGACATGCCCATTACACCTTATTGTTTGGGAATTAAGCAGCACTTTTCAAAGACTCATGCCTTAATGTGTCTTTATTCACCTGGAATAACACATCAACGGACATCATGCCATAAGGACATTTTCATTTATTGAACTTTATCTGTCCCTTGCACTTTTAACAACATGTCTCACTGTTACCACCCATACAGAGCCACTCAGTGAGTCTGTGCTAATAGCTTGAGCCTCTGCCAGGAGCTACCCTGCCATGCTGCAGCACTGAGATGCTAGCATTTAGCCTTGGTAGCAGTGGCTACATCCTGAATCCCCACCCCCTCATTTGTAGAGCAGTTGGGGACAGCGTTGCACAGTACCTCTGTGCATGTGCAGATCATGCCATGCTCGGTTCTGGGAAGTTACATGTGTTCTGGGTTGCTACGTTAGTGTGCAGGAAATATTGAACATGACATTAAAGCCTTAATCATTACTTCAGTAAATCCATTAGTAAGTCCATCTCAAGTTCAATGTTTGCCAGTAGTGTAAAAACCTAATGTTACCATTAGAAAAAAAAAGTGTGTGTACATGCCAGAAATTTCTGTGGGGGAAAGTATCTTGTGCTCTGATGGAGGTGTCCCTGTTTTTAAAATAAAAATGCTCTACTGCAGACTCACTCTGACCTAACATCTCTGCATTTTATGGTTGAGCATATTTGGTAAACCTTACTGTGAGAGTTAAACGCTCCTAATTCTTGTCTGAATGTCATATATTGCTTACCTGATCCCTTCCATTACTTTGTGAACATGTCGTTGTCCGTTCTGACCTCTCTTTCCTGTTCCCCCTTTTATCTAGAGCAGCAGAAGGTGATTTTTATTGTTTTCCCAGTCTTGTATGACAGCAGGGTCCACGTTTAGTCTTCACGGTCTCATGCTCCTGTCCGCTTTTGCTCTTGCTCCCCCTCTTCTACCCACCCCCTCCTTTTCCTCTCATTGGCAGCCGAGAGTTACTTTAGTTTAGCCGTTTCCCTGCCTTTCCGTTCGTCCAGGCATGGTCATGCAGAGCGTTTGCACCCCTGGATAGCCTCCACTGCTGCTGGCTGCCCACTTGCTTCAGGGATGTCTGTGAGAGGAGGTAGAGAGAGAGAGAAAGGAGGGACCAAAGGAGGGAGATGAAGGATCATCGAATGGTGGGGAGGGGGAGGTGGCAAAAATGCAGCACAGAGTCGACCCATACTGCTGCTGATGAGGAGGTGGGGTGGTGGATGCTGACTTCAGTGTTTTATATTCCGGATCTGCACAGGCCACCAAATCATCTCCCTGATTTTTCTCTCTCAATCTCTCTCACACTTTTTGTTCTCCTGTAACATGTCAATTTCTGTGTACATGCCATATTTTGAAATCCTATTACTCACACAGACCGATGCTTTGATAAATGAACCCAGGCTCCATTGCGACGGTACCGTTAGGTGTTGAATTAATCTGTGTGTGACGCAGCTAAATGCAGAAGACAGGGCGACGTGGTTTAATGTGCCTCTACGGCCATGTCCTTATTTAAGGGACAGCTGTTTTTGTTGATGCGCTCTTTAATTTCATTCTTGAGGATTTCAGTATTGGTCTTTGAGTAAATTCTCAGATTCATTTCATTCATCTTGTTGATTTAGTTTAGTTAGTTTAGAGTATATTGTATGAACTCTACTCTGTTTGGCAGGATGTATTAATGTTTCAAGTCTTTATATCTATGTAGCTATGTATCTATAGATATAAATATGGGATGTTCTGGGTTACAGTGGTCTGTCATGCTCCATTTGGCTCCCACCTGTTTCCCCCTAGTGTTCTGAAAGTGCAGTTGCACATCTTAAGAGCACCAATGAGGTGTGAATGTAGCCGTGGAGCAAGCAGCATAGCAACACCGATCAAATGTGTGAACACCTGCATAGCAGCACAATGAAGTTTTGTGAGGGTTTGAGTTATTGAATCAGAAAACCTGCAGCAGCAAATAGTACCAATAAGAACTGAATGCTGTCAGGAAATTAAAACCTTATCATAACCCTAACAAAAAAGTACTATAGCTTTACCATGGTGTGGTGTCTCAATTGGATAATAATAATAATGTTGTTGTTGTTGTTGGCATCCCACAAACTAGTAGTTTAAAGGTAATGGCTCAAGTAACCACTGAACTCTGGCTGAATCCCAATGGATGAAGTGACTTTTCTTCAAAATAAATCAAAAGGCAGAAAATAGCCTTGTGGTCTGTTTCCAAATTTGACTCCGCTTTGACATTTCCCCTTTCACTTCTGCTGCAGGCAGTGCACAGGCCCTGCATTCATCACTCTGCAGAAGACACACAGTATACTAATTGTACTAACTTCATACCTTTCTCAGTAGTAGTTCTGCAGGTCTGTTAGTGTTGGAAACCGAGAACCGGTTGTGGAATGATTTTCATGATATTCGGTTCAGTTAAAGGTTCTTGAATCGCTTCATTTTTATTTTTTGCAGACTAAATATCATTTTAATGTAGTGTGGAAGTGTTTAGACAGCATCTTTCCACTGAAGTTTGTGAATCATCATCCAGTGCGTATTACTGGTCCTAGAAATATATATATATTTTTTAATTTGTGGAATAAAACAGATTCATATGATTAATAATTAGCATCAGAGATTAGATGAACTGTTGATGAACCCCTAAAATCTTAAGGTACTTATAAGCAAAAATATTAGCCTGCAGTCCTGCAACTAACATTTAAATGCACAATATGTAAGATTTTTTTATTAAAATATCCAAAAACCACTAGAACAGTGTTATATATTTTGCTGACTCGTGTACTTACATTATCCCAAATGTTCCGAAGAAGGTTTAAATCCAGAGAAATAAGCAATTTTAACTAGTGACACGGACCCTGTCTATAGTGTCATTGTGTCGCCTGCCAATGACGTCTTAACCCCTCGATTTCCGGTTTTGTTTTGTAGAAAACATGGAAACACCAAAGACGCTTTACTATATGGTGTGTGTTTTAAATACGTGCCCTCTAGCGGCGAAAATTACATATTGTGCCTTTAACCTTTTTGTTTTACAGCTGAAGGAAAGAAGGACACAAGACTGTGTTGTTGCAACACTTTGTATTTTTAGAGTGAGCTGCAATTGGGTCTGTTCGTCTGACAGTTCCTCTCAGTTTGAAGCTCAGACATGCTTCCAGTAGCTATAGCAATGCAGTAATTCATTCACAAACTGGGTACTGAGGCTACATTCCTTCTTTCTCATACACACACTTAAGTGCATAAGAACAAAGACTGGACATGCTGTGGATTTTATGCCTGAGCTAGCCATACATTAGCTTTTAGCTGTTAAAGTATTAAAATGACAAAAGCATTGACATTTTAAAGACCTAATGAAATCAGAATTGGAGTTTGGTAGCTTTTAGTTCTTAGCTACGAAGCAACTATATGCTGGTGTACTTACACTAACCTTAAGCAGATATACAGATTTAAAATACATGTAAAATACAGGCTCACTCTTCTTGGAAAATCGACCAAGAACTGCAGTGTCTAAACCTGTTGGAGGGCCACTATCCTGTAAAATTGAACAAGATCTTCAGGCTCACTAGAAACTTCCAGGCAAGTGTGTTAGAGCTGGTTGGAGCTAAATTCTGCTGGACATTGGTCCTCCAGGAGCAGGAATTGGACACTAGGGTTGGGAATCGAAAATCCAGAATCGGATACTTAAAGCTGCAGTCCGTAAGTTTTGCCTCTTTGTCGCCATCTCTGTTTGAAAACCTGCAATTGCAGCTCTGTGCGGAATTATCTTCCTTGCGTGGGTTGTGCGGCGGCACGGCTCCAGCGAGGATGACTCTAATGTTTTGAGGAGTATGTGTGGCAGTCAGTCACCGCACCGGTGTGGATATTTACTGTACTTCGCAATCACAGATTCTAGACTACATCTTGGAATATATGACCCAAATTAGAATTTTCACCAGATATTGTTATCTGAACAAGTAAGTAACAAGTCTGCCACGTTTGTTCTGACCAACTGAGGAAAAAAGCATTACCATAAATCTCGCTACCAACGGTGATTAAATCTAAAGATCAGTTAGCTCATATCACATTAAACCGTTCAAATTATTATTATTGTTATAATAATATATATATTATTCTCAAATGATTAATGTTAACAACATCAGCATTGCGTGACTATGAGTATAGTGTATAAGCAAGTAGATTTCAATTTCTGTACAGTCTAATCTCTAATTGTCATACCAAGTTTTTGCTGCTAAATTATACAGTCAGCTAGTTTAATTTCATAGCTTATATATTTTTATTCAAATGTAGTTTTTCTCTGTAATGAGGAAGTGAGTATTTAGTGGATTGCGTTTAACAAAGGGTTTAAAAGAGTGACCATTAGTTCCACAAACACAGTATTGATATTCTGTAGTGGTGTAGGAAAAAAATAGAGCTGGTGTTGGATCGGTATTTTCCGATTCTTAGAATTTGGAATACTCTATGTAATCTTACACTGCAAAATAATAACTCAAAAAGATTAAAAGATAACATCATAATTATTTACTGATCCCTTAAATTAATCACAATTATATAATGAAAGCCATAAAAACAGACAATTTATCATGACAATCGTCATAATCGCCAAAGCCCTAAAACAGACAATTAATCGCAGTAACCGTGACTATTTTTTAGACAATTAATCGTCAGCCAAAGTTCATAATCGTGACAGCCCTAGTGCCCCCCTGGACATGGTGCCCCTGGGCACTTGCCCAATTGCCCATATGGTTAATCCGCCTATGGCCTACACTACCAGTCAAAGGTTTTTTAACAGTAAGATTTTTGTTTTTTTTAAAGATGTCTCTTTTGCTCACCAAGCCTGCATTTATTTGATCCAAAGTACAGCAAAAACAGTCAAATTTAGAAATATTTTTACTATTTAAAATAACTGCTTACTATTTGAATATATTTTAAAATGTAATTTATTGCTGTGATCAAAGCTGAATTTTCAGCATCATTACTCCAGTCAATGTAGTTTTTCTCTGTAATGAGGAAGTATTTAGTGGATTGCGTTTAACAAAGGGTTCCACAAACACAGTATTGATATTCTGTAGTGGTGTAGGAAAAAAATAGAGCTGGTGTTGGATCGGTATTTTCCGATTCTTAGAATTTGGAATACTCTATGTAATCTTACACTGCAAAATAATAACTCAAAAAGATTAAAAGATAACATCATAATTATTTACTGATCCCTTAAATTAATCACAATTATATAATGAAAGCCATAAAAACAGACAATTTATCATGACAATCGTCATAATCGCCAAAGCCCTAAAACAGACAATTAATCGCAGTAACCGTGACTATTTTTTAGACAATTAATCGTCAGCCAAAGTTCATAATCGTGACAGCCCTAGTGCCCCCCTGGACATGGTGCCCCTGGGCACTTGCCCAATTGCCCATATGGTTAATCCGCCTATGGCCTACACTACCAGTCAAAGGTTTTTTAACAGTAAGATTTTTGTTTTTTTTAAAGATGTCTCTTTTGCTCACCAAGCCTGCATTTATTTGATCCAAAGTACAGCAAAAACAGTCAAATTTAGAAATATTTTTACTATTTAAAATAACTGCTTACTATTTGAATATATTTTAAAATGTAATTTATTGCTGTGATCAAAGCTGAATTTTCAGCATCATTACTCCAGTCTTCAGTGTCATCCATGATCCTTCAGAAATCATTCTAATATGCTGATTTCGCTTTTTTTTTCTTCATCTGTGAGGACCGGACGTAGCGATCTGCCAGGACCTTGCTCGCTAGTCTAAGTGCTCCAAAGTTTGGCTACATTTGCAATCAGAAGCCAAAACAGCTAAGTATAATAT